GAGGAGGAGGAGGAGGAGGAGGAGAAGAAGAAGAAGAAGAAGAAGAAGAAGAAGAAGAAGAAGAAGAAGAAGAAGAAGAAGAAGAAGAAGAAGAAGAAGAAGAAAAAGAAGAAGAATTTCATTCTTAACGAAATCTTAACGATACCCTTACGGTACCTCATTCCATCTTAACGATACCCAGGTACCGTATCGGTACCCCAATACCAGAGTAGGTACCGTCAGGTACCTAGAGTTTGTCCATATGTCTATGTCTTCCGTCAATGACCAATTCAGAGACTTTGGTTGTTGCATGACGATAAACTTGGGTGTTCGTCCCTAGCTCTAGGCCGATATTTGAATATATATGTTGATTACGTTTGCTATGTTGGATGTGAATATTTATATGATATACACTTGTGTAAGAAATAAAACATTAAAAATAACTTATGAATCTAAAGGAACTCTAGGATTCGTCCTGAATGGAATAGAGACAAGTTATACCATAAGTTTAAAAGGATCAGAGCCATGTGGTACCTGCTAGGTCCAATGGCTAATCGGTGCGCACAGAGATCTATAAACTATCGTTCTGAAGGGGACAGAGATCTCACACAGTCAACGAGGAACTCCCAAATTGGTTTGAGCTTGACATTCGTTCCGAAGGGGAAGATCATGACTCCCATATAAAAGTAACAAGAACAAGACCTAACAAAAATTAGAGTAATCTGTTAGCGTATGGATTTGGTGATCATATTTCTTCAAGTATGTGTTTATGCATGTTGTTATGTATATTTATGTGCATGATAATATGGGAATTGGGGTCGTTTGTATGTATAGCTAAAACATTAGATATTTCTTTCTAAGCTTCAATGTTGAGCGTGTGACATTTGTCATTTTTCTACACATAGGTACTCGAAGACAACTAACATGAACTTAGAGCCAATTTTGGAGGACAATCGGGACGAAGAGATGTGCATGAGCATATTTGAAGATTTTGAACTCTTAGTTATTTCCAATTGACTTAATACCCTTACGAGCTTGATTCCCAAGTTGTATGTAATAATGACTTAAGCTTCCGTATCATCACTTTTCAAATACACCGATGAATGTTTGAATTATATATATTTAAATATATATTTTAAAATTATTTTGAAATTAAGTTGTGCTGGAAGACAAATTAGTAGCAACCCGATACGTATTCGGATTATGCGAGTTGCAGTGTTACATAGAATATAATTCAGAACATGAGAATTGTCCTTGAAGTAATTAAGAATACAAAACTAAGCTAGTAAGTAGAAAAATGAGTCCACACTTTTGAGTCAAATAATCATTAATTAAACATTTGTAGGACTCAAATCCATTCAAAATGAGTCCAAACTTTGTCAACGGAGTTGCAAATTCAGACTGACAAGACGATGGAACCTGCCACTGCACGTCAACCATCTTTAAATTGACCATTCCAACTACACCTCAAATGCTCGAAGTGGGCCCATCGCCAAGACAATTGAGCACATAGCCTCTCTCAATATCGACCTCCACCTATATAGAACAAGAACCTAGTAAATCTTGGGTGTGGGTAGACTTTGATCTCTTCGAAAGTTTATTGAAAGACATCTTGGGTGTTCGAGCAATATAACAAATCATTGGATTATGCTATGTGTACCCCAAGATTTGTATCCCAATTTGTACCCCGTAGTTTTGCACCAACATTTTGTGTTGGTGTAAAACTAATTTTTGTTAAACACACCAACATTTGTGTCCGTGTGAATTTTTATTAACGCACCAACACTTGTGTCGGTGTAAACCATCGAAATGTTTGTGCAAACCTATGGTGTACAAATAGGATATATTTTTTGGTGTAAGTGTAGCATGATCCCAAATCATTTCATAGAAAGTCTTTGACGAACGATGAAACAAAGAGCAAACAAAAAATAAATAAAATTGCAAAGAGAAAAAACTAGACCCGTGCAAATTAGGATCTAGGCCGGCTTGATACAAATTATTAGTCCATTTACATGGGCGGGTCTAGCCCGGCCCGGATTTGATAAGCTAAACTCTTTACGACTTTACCCATACCCACCCAACTTAGCAGGCCGAATTGCCCACCGAGCCGCCTGGCCGAGATAAAACATCAAGAAAATTGTTTTTGCCAAAAATTTAAAAGAAAAAACATTGAACTTCTTTTTTCAATGTTTAAAATAAAATCAACAGTCACTACATTTACATAGAAAGCATAATAGATGTATTGTTACATAATTAATAAACTCATCATACTAATTCATTAAAAGACTATTGGTTTTGTTTAATAGAGGTGAGTGAATTGAACTATATATTATACATGAAATATAAAATTAATAGTTATATGGGCTAGATAATTAATAATAAAGTAAATGTATTTGATGAATATGAGTCTGGTGGCCTGGATGGGCTAAAAGTAACTTCTAGATTTGCCCAAATACGTACAATCGGGTCTGGGCAGGTCCACCCATGTGGGTATTAAAAATTGCTCATATCTGCTCTTTTTAAAGGGTTGACTGGACAAGCGAGACGAGCCGACTCTTATTTGCACAGGTCTAAGAAAACAAGTTGTTAGCAACTAGACCTCAAGCATAGAAATGACACAACGACAAGAGTAAAAACAAGTCTCAAACGTAAATGGCTACTCAATTACCTTAGTCTTAGATCCCAGATTCCTCCTATCCTCGGTAAGGATAGAAATTTTAGATCTTGTCTAATCATCTCAATCTCAATAAAACAATTGCAACCCTAACATTTTGGGGTTACAAATGACCCTAAACTTTGCACAGACACACACTAGTTATTTTCTGTGTGACACTTAGACATTAATTGTTTGTGTTGTCTGTAGTACAATGCTTGGAGGCGGGTCATTCGTAACCACAAAATGTTAGGGTTACATAGCACGACAATCTCATGCCAAATTTTCATAGGTTTACCCTTACACCAGGTTCCCTATCGTAAGCCTCTGCATCTTCATAAAGGGTCTGTTCGGGAATAACGTTAGAGATTAGCGTTAGCATTTTGAATAAAATTTTAACAGTGCAGATTATTTTGAAAACGCTAACGCTAAACGTTGCCCGTAAATAGTCTTTTCAGAATGTTAACGCTATTCCCAAACATGTCCCAATTGAGCATTTGAGCAAAAATGATATTGGATCCATCAAAGATGAGTCTTGAAATCTTGAATAAATGTCATGTAAGAACTAAGATAGTTTCCCATTATATACGAGATACATTAGCTAATAAATGTCAAAACTGGTCTATAGTATTTTTGGTTAACATATTGAGGACTAAAATGGAGACTAATTAAAATCCCTAGATATAAAATTCAAATAAATTACAATTATTTGTAGTCCATCATATCGGTTGCATAGCACTCTCCTGTCTATCTATCTATACCTACCAGAACTATGTTGAGAGGAAAAACTTGATCTCATTAATGAATCAAAGATCAAATGGAAGATCCATACAGAATTGAACAATTAATTTAAAATTCGTCAGCAAAAGATTCAATTCCCATAGTCAAAACTACCAAACTTTGTTTTTCTTCGAAGAACACATACAAATTGAGAAATAAAAACCCTAGAGGCCAGGCCTAAGTACACTGCTAAGCCAAACAAACATATTAGACAGACAACATCAACGTACTAATTATGATTACTTGGAACATTTCAACAACCTAAACAACGTTTGCATGCAACCTTAATCTTAATAATACTGGTAATAATAATAATATAAATAATAATAATATGATAATAATAATCTTTCTTCTTCTTCCCCATCATTACCATAAAGTCAATTCCCGAACCTATCACCCTGGTGAAATGCTTTTCTGCTTTGTTTTCATCTCATTAACAGACCACCAGTCCACAAGGATGGCTTCAGGTGCGTTCTTGACTTCTTATTATCATTCCTCCAAAAAAAAGAACGCCTCGAGACAGAATCTCAGGCGTTTTCGCACGCGACAGCGCCTTTGATCCTCTCGACGGTGCACTTGATGAGGGAATTGACCGTCGCGACCGACCCGAGGGAGAGTTTCGCGGTGGGGACCGAATCGACCAATATCTGGAACGCCACTGTGAGTAGAGACCCGCCGGGCCCACCTCCGGTCTGGTCGGAGTTTTGACCTCCTCCAGTGGTTGTGGGCCCGTCGGGGAGGATGGCGAAACCTGAGGGTAAGAGGGCGACGTAGTCAGGGTCGCCCCCACTTAGGACCACATTCATGGCCACAATGTCCACCGGTGCATATACCACGAAGGACCCCGTCGAGTCCGTGCAACTCTCTTGAAGTATCAACATATTGCTTTGGCTCGTATTCGCGCTCTACAATGAAAGCGACGATCGAACTTATTAATCATTCCCGCCATGACTTTTAAGATACACTGAAAAATAAATGAATGTGGACACACGTCATGTCCAGATTCATTCACTTTTCAATGTATCTAAATAATTAAATTTCCAATAAAAGGATCTAAATTTACCAAATTTTCAAAATTAATTATTTTCAGTAAAAATCTACCAATACTGAAAAAATTGATCACTAGAATATAATAAAGTGAGAAATAATGAAAATGAAATGCCTTACATTAACACGCAATAGAGATACACAGTTGCCTGGATCTCTGCCATTGGCAATGTGTGCCATTTCTTGAACAAGGCCACCATTTGAGAGAATGTCCCACTGTAAATAAAATTAATAAATTACTCATGGACACTTTGATTCAATTAGGAAAAATATAAGGGAATGTGACAATAATTTTACCTCACTTCTTGAGTTTTCGTCACGAAGGAAATCAAAGACTCGCTTGGGCGGGACCGGGAGCCAGAAAGAAGTGGCGGCGCTTAGGACGATCCCGGGCGGCCGCCCGGGATCGTCTACGCTCTTCCTGGTCATAACCCTAACATCATCGGGCCCACCTCCCGACAATGTCGTCCAGGTGTGGGCCGTGGATGCACCCACACCTGCACAGAAACTCATCACCATCCTCTCCGCCAACTTTAGCATGCTCTTCCTGCCCTCCGCACTCGTTATCACTAACACACGAAAAGCAAATGTTATGTCGAAAAAAAAGATACTATATGTAAAGAATGTATCGCCTCTTCGTTTGGAATTAGCGTTAGCATTCTGAATTATTTTTAAATGTTGCGGTTTAAGTTTGAAAATGCTAAAGTTAAACAGTATTGTCAGATAGTCATTTTCAAAATGCTAAGTGTTGCTGAAACTATTGCCAAACGAATACTTCGTATTAAGTTTAATTCTTTGATATATCTCTACGTACCGCAACCATCTATTGCTGGAATGCTATTAGCCATTGCGCTAGCTAGTCGTTCGCACTGTCGGTCCAATGTGGCTATCCACCGTTTGGCTCCAAACGCAAGGGTCGAGCTGACGAGCGGTCTGTACAAGTTATTAACAGATCGATCGTCAACCTCAACATGCTCGATCCATGTTACCTGAGACATATCGTGAAATGTATATATCGATATTTAATTAATAGCGAAAAGAATAAGGTAACACTAATTGTTGTTACAAGAGAGGGTTAGTTTTTGTACATACCCTAGAGTAACCATTGGGCATTTCTTGGATCAAACAACCAGAAGGCCTTCTTCTACACCGGGAGATCGGAGACGGGCGCAACGTGTCCAACGAGACATCGACCACGGCCCACATCCCGTCGGAGTGTTGTTTGCAGTATCTCACAAAATAATTTTCTCGGGTCGGGACGAGCGGTGAAGGGACTTGAAACTCAGCACTCATCTAAGAAGTAATTAGCATAAGACAAATAATTACCCTTAATTACGTAATAAACACAACATAAATTATTGGACTACATTTATTTGCAAGTAACATATGTATAGTACCACTTGCAATGCCCCATTGTAATTGCCTGCAACACCAGTTGACAAAACCTCCAAAGTCATTGCCCTTGACACAATTCCAGCAAACACATTTGCCCATTGGTTCTAAAATTAAACAAACAAAAAATAAATAAAATAAACACTTATTAGAGATGGTTATTACTTAATTAAACCAAACAGAAGAAGAGATTTCATAATGTGACAGAAATAAATACCACATCCATGAGAATTTCGACGAGATTAATGTGGTTCATGATGACAACAGCAGACTCACGCGACGCTTCGGAGACCAATCCGAGCGGTTTCGGTCCGATTCCCCGAGGGAACGACCGGACATATTCGTCCTCACACAATGCCTCCTTGTTAGCCGAGTTTTCGGGACACGGGGCCCACAATGGCTCCCCGGCTTGAGCCATTCTGACCAGCTCCTCCATTGCAGCCACCGCCAGCTCAATAATCACCGGTTTGTCAGCGTCAGTCGGGCCCGAAACCGACCCGAGAACGTCGCCCGGCCCGTACAAATCCCCCGACATGTGCCCAAAGCTTCCGACCCCGAGGTCAAGCGTCCGGTTCGGCCCGTGAGGTGGCAGGTTTGAGAACGAGAGCATTGGCTTCCCAACAAACTTTGCAGCAATTTGAGTAATTCTTTCAATCTACACATGTTAATTATTAGAAACATGTTAATGTAACTAACCCTAAATTGGTAGAAGACAAATACTTTGTACAAGCCAAAACAAACAAAAAAAACATAATGGGACAAAATGAGTACATTACACTTCCTCACTCCCAAAATAAATTCTTAAAATATGTTAATGTCACAATATATACGGAGTATTAAGTTTATAGCAAGTACAATTCTCTATATATAGACAGATGTATATATATACCTCTTCTCTTAGACGAACATTTTCGATTCTTAGCTGTTGTTCGTCGAACGACATCTCTCCGATAGAAGCAGGGCCACCGCAGTTCGGACACGTGGCGTTACTGAGTGCTTCCTGGTAACGAATGTTATCGGCGCGAAGCTTCTCATTCTCTGCCCTCAGTTGTGAGTTCTCGCCGCGCTCGTGTTGCGCCTGATGTACATGTAACATTTATTAACATAATTAATTCCACACTTGGTGCAAAATTAAAGAGCCTTAATGTAATAGACATTCAAAAGAATTGAATGGAAAAGTATTTAATTGGTAGTGCCTTTCAATATTTATGAATTAACAAACTGCTAAAAGAGAATAATGAGAACCTTCATTTGAGTGCGTTTGTTTTGGAACCAGAACTTGACTTGTAGAGGCTCGAGCCCTAATCTACGTCCAAGTTCCTTCCTTGCCTTATCATCTGGATGCTGGTGTTCTTTAAAATACCTGTTACATTACACACTATAATGTTACAATAATAATTATATAATGTTTATGTATGTATTAAGACAGATAATTATTATTTCGTCCCGGATTATATTTCCGATTGGTTTTGAAATTAAACAAAAAAAAGAGTAGGAGTAGATGACTCTAACAAATACTAATCAAAGATGATTATTTTCAAATTAATTTATTTGAAAACAATATGCATTAAACTAGAAAAAAACATACTACACAACAAAATAGGACCTTAAATACTACTCCCTCCGTCCCGTGAAACCTTTCCCCTTTCTTTTTTTATCCGTCCCACAAAACACTTCTCATTTGTATTAAAAAGTCACTTTTACCCCTTATTTTTTCATACCCTAACTATCACATCATACCTTTTTACTAATAATCTATCCATCAAATCATACTTTTACCCATCACATCAAAGGACATTTTTGGAAATTCAATACCAAAATACAATCCCTTAAATCCCTCCTAAAAAGCAAATGTCACATGTTTCACGGGACGGAGGGAGTACTTCCTTCGTTCCAGAAAACACTTCCGTTTTAATTTTTTGCGCAGCCCATAAAATAATTCTATCCCACCTGAAATGTCTAAAATACCCCTAAAACAACTTCTACCCACAATAAACTACATAGTGGGGTATATTTAGATATTTTAGGTGGGAGTAACAGCGTTTAATGAGGCACGCAAAAATTTAAGGCGGAAGAGTTTTAAGGAACGGAAGGAATATTAATGACAAAAAAATTTACAATGTCAAAACAAAATACCAATAAAACACTGTTAAATGCCAATACATAGTGTTAATGGGGACATTAATTCTCACATTCCCAGTCCACTCCTATTTTGGTTATAAAAATATAAGGGTTCATTTAGTACATGAAATTGATAGAATTGGTATTGAATGAGAAGTTAAAATTCTATGGAATTGATTTAGATGGAATTAAATTCTCTCATTTCAACTCATTTTTGGCACTATGAATTCCAAATCTACATATTTTTGTGCTACCAAACACCAGAATTTGAACTATTTCTCTCAATTCTAATTCCATAATTTAAATTTTATGTACCAAACGAAACCTAGGAGATTTTATTTGAATATCATTTTGATGTTTCAATCTTATTTAAGTTGATTTAATAGTATAAATTTAAAATGTAACATTTAATTTAAAAATTCCATTAATTTAAAATGTAACATTTAATTTAAAAACCTAGGAGATTTTATTTGAATATATAAATATATTATTTTATCGAATAAACACAGATAATAAGTATTAGTAAGAAAGGTGATCAAAATTTGATACTCCTAAATATTCAATTAAAATTTCTTTTTGGGAGAAATGAAAAAACTATTATTACTAGCATAATCCTAAGATCATGATGAAATATATGTGAAGAAGTGCATTATATAAACATTGTATGGCAGTAAGAAATAAAAGAACACTAACGCTTCCATTTCTTGGATTTGGTGTTGAGTGTGGCGGTGGTAACGCTTCTTCTTGGTGGGGCGTTGATTGGGATCTTGATCGTCGCCGGACGGCGGCTCCATTATGTCCGTCCCCGATTTGCTCTCGTACTCTTCCTCTCTTATCATGCTGTCGAACTCGTTTTCCGGGTTTTTGTGGCCGCTCATGTCGAGCAGGTGGTGGTGGCCACCGCGGTGGTGGTGTTGGTGGCTCTCCAGGTACATATTTGGCTGATACATCTTTTTTTAATTTATTATTATTATTACCAAGCTGAATAAAACTTGTTACTTCTTCAAAGCTGTAGATCTGCACAGCTAGAGGTTACCAAAATTAAAACAAGAAAAAAACGTCAAATTAGCAGTGTGATTTCGCAAAACAAAAGAACAATCAAACAAACGTTTTTTTCCTAAAAAGGGTAAGCATGTTGGTGCAACTTCATAATTAAAATGTACAAATAATTGACTTATTGCACAAATTAGAACTTTTCTTTGATGACCCATTTCTCACTTACTCAGTCATCCGCCGTCGCCGCCGTCGCCCTTCGCCGGCCGGAAACTTCACACAAGGTCCCTGAACTTTATATTATCTCCAGAAGAAACCCTAAAGATGACGACTCTCTCTCTACCTCTCTCATGGTGTGTAGATATATATAGGTTTGACTTAAGTTTTTTTAGGATGTTAAAACCGAGGTTTTTTTCCTCCTTGTCTGTCTGTCTTGACAGCAAAAAGGCTGAAACTGTATTTATATGTATATTATAAAATAAACTTAAATATTTTCTCTCACTTTTTTTTCTTCCTTGAGAGATTTATAATTTTAAGCTAAAATTTTTTCTAAAAAAAAGAGAGAGAATATAACGCCAGCGAAAATAGCGGTCCTTGACGGGCTAGCTTCTTCTTCTTCTTATGTCTGCAAATTTGAAAAAATATTACATAACGGAAATTAAACCTAGACAACGTTAAAAAAGAAAAGAATTGTTTTATTTTTCTTGTCTTGAGTGGGAAATATATAAACTTACCCTGGGTGGGTGATGGATCTGGTGAATAGTTGCAGAAGCAGCTGGGAAACTTATATTTCTCGTGAATAAAATTTAAGAAGAAGAAGAAGAATGGGGAGGAGGAGGAGAGAGAGAGGGGGAGAGAGCATTGGAAAGGGATCGGAGGAGTAGATGGAGAAGGGGAAGGGGTAGAGAGAGGGGAGGAGTTATTGCAGAGGGGATTGAGAGGATGAAAGGGCATTTATGGCGCTGTTGGGGGGTCTTTAATGTCGCCATATTGCTTGCTGTAGAGAAAGAGAAAGAGAGTATCCTCACACCATGCGTAAGACTATGTGGTAATGGCGCGACCCGGACATGATTGTCTGGGTCGCGCCTCCTCCGTCGTGCCACAACACGGGGGTGATATAGGGGCGTGACCAAGGGTGATTGCCCTTACTGTGGCTCCGCTTCAAACTTTTACGGTCCGAGCCGTTGAATAACTGCTCTACCGCGTTGCATATTACTCCCTACATTTTCACTTCATTTTTTTTCTCTTTTCCCAAAACACTTGTTAGTCAAAATAGGAACTCTTTTTTAGAAACGGATGGAGTATTTTTAATTTTTTAGTGTTGGTTTTAATCGTTACATCTTGTTAAAAAATTTATTACAAAACCACTTTTATCCTTTTCTTACCCTACCTATCACGTTATACTTTTTCACAAATAATCTACTTATCATATCTTACTTTTATCTATCACATTAAGGACAAACTTGGAAAGTCAACTACAAATACACACTTCTAATTTAACTAACATTTAAATTAGTAAAAAGTCAAAAAAAAAAGTTAGTATCAGATAGAGGGAGTATAATTTTCTTCTCGATTCTAAACTCTCTTCTACACAATGGATCCAAACAACCCTTATTACAATACATTTTTCGGTTGGATGGTATCGGCCTCAAATGGACCAAAATATGTAAAACATACTAGGCCATAACCTCTTTTGGACTAGCATTTTGCAATCTCACTTAATTCCTGACTTGAGCGTTCTAGACTCTCATTCGATACTCTTTTGTCTAGCCTCCTAGGTCCCCTGGTTCCATAACCCAACGGTACCCATTAACTTAAATGACGCGGATGACGATGAAGTTGGAACGTTCTCCATGACTCGCTCAACAGCTTCTTCCTTGCTCACCAGAGAACCTAGCTGACTGCTCGGTCGAAACAACAAGAGAAAGCGCCAAGTTACCTCCACCCCACCTCGGCAGTACAAACAAGATTTGACGGAGATAACAACTTCCATGATAAAGTTTGTTGATCTCCAGGAGTTGAGAGAGTACAACGACATATGGTTGTTGAAAGCTTGGGGTAATATGCAGCAAACCGAGTTGGAGCTTATCTCTAGCCAATAGGGAGTACCTATACTATACATCTGGATGTACGATGTTTTTCGTACATCTGAATATTCATATTTGATTATTTGAATAATCATTTCTTTTAGCATAACTGAATTTTGGAAAAAAGAAGTATTTAGTACTTTGTAGCTCATAAATGAATAGAGTAATTTACCTAAATAGGACTAAAACATAATGACTTTCCCAAAATAAGACCATATGTTTTTATTTCCGAATGTAGGACCTTTGGTCATTATTCTTTAGTCATTATTCAAGTAATGTCTATCATTGCTGGGCATTATTCCTTCCACGAAGACATTATTAAGTCCTATTTAGGGAATAAAAAAGTTTAAGTCCTAAATTAGGAAAGTCATTATGTTTTGGTCCTATTTAGTGCAAATTTCACAAATGAATACTCATCGTGAATGTACAGAAAATGCCGTACAAGTTGTTGGACTATTTCTAACTCTATGTTTTATTTTTTATTAAATACATCTAAAATGATCCAAAAATTGAAAGAAAATAAAAGAGTTAAAGACACTAAAAGAACAAAACCATATTTAGCACTCTCCTCTCCCATCTCTTTATCCCTGACTTCATTTGTAAAATAAGGAGTACTAAAATGTAAAGAAACGAACCCCTCAGCTTTCTCTGGGAGGTTTCGTGGCTCTCCCATCTACTTCCCAAATCCCATTCTTCTTTCTTTCGTTATTGATCTCTCCCCAGAAAATGGCCCTTTCCATAATTATATCTGATTTCTTTCCCATACTGTTCTTCCTCCATGCCTGATTTTCGCCCAAAATTCCAAGAAAAATTTTGGGTTTTTTCCATCTATGCAATTCTTGCTCTCCCATAAGGTAAATTTTGAAACTTTATGTGATTAAAATTGAAAATTTGAGAGGAATTCTAAATGCACTATTGATTGCAGGCTTTTATCCGTTTCCCATAGGCAGGGACGAGTCTAACCAAGATGAAAGGGTCATTCAAAGCTGGATTCAAATACATCTCTAACATTTTTGGTATTTCCCAACGAATAAATTCCATTACTTTTTGTTTTGTGTAAATTCTTGATTTTCTTTTTCTGGGCATTCTTAAAAATGTGCTAGTTTTTTATAATTGCAGTAGTGAAAGATCGTGAGATTGAGATTGAGATTGGAGTGCCAACAGATGTTAAGCATGTTGCACACATTGGTTGGGATGGTCAAGCTGGTAATGCACCTACTTGGGTATGCATATTTCTTTATTTTCCATTCTTTTTTGTTTTTGATATAGACATGTAAGATAATTAATCTAACCCAATTTCCCATTCATCTTGGCATGAATTGTAGATGAATGACTTCAAGGCAGGGCCTGACTTTATTTCACCAACAATTGGTAATTTGGGACATGGACTTTCTCCATGGTCTTCCCAAGGTGGGTTTTTCTTTCTTCTTAGTGCAAATCCTTTGATCAAGGTGTAGCCAAATATGAGCTTTTGGAACATTTCTCCATGTATAATTTCTAGGCTTATTGTGCAGAGTTGCAATCAGGATCTGATTTTTGCAATGGCACGGCACAATCTAGAGAGGTTCCTTGTGGTGCTAAGAAACAGAAGCGAAAGAAGCTTAGGTCAAGTGGTTCATCTGCTTCGTCAAGGTCAACCCGCTCGAATAAACAAAAGGTGAAGCTAGCCGAAGACGAGCCCAAGCCATTGACCATAGAAGTGGCTACATATTGAGTTTACATAGACTTGGCCTAGCCTATCACTTTGAAGTCCGTGACAAAAAAAACCACAGAGGAAGATGTAGTAGCAGAAGAAGAAGGTTTAATGTGTAAAAACAATCTAGAGATGTGTGATAAAAGAAAGAGATTGATCAAGAAAAACAACTCTTAATTCCAACTTTCTCAAACCAGGTGAATTGGGAAATAAAAGAAGTTTTTTTTTTTTGGGGGGGGCATGTGGTTCTTGCTGGTATAAATGGCAAGGGAAGGCAATGTCATGACAAGAAGCTGGATTTTATAAAAATGTGCTAATATGCCTTCATTGCCTTGTAATTACCAGGTTTTGCATTTCGACCATCTTCCTTCAATTCCTGGTTTTTTTGAAAGGTGGTTTAAAATTTTCTTGATACATGCATATATCATCATACCCATGGCCTCATTATTCATTATTCTTTATAGTGGGTTTCCATCTCTCCACCTTATATTTGTGTTGTTTTACATGTTGATGTTATGAATAAATGCAAAAGTTCTTATAAAAACCCTCACTTACGCCTATCATGCATAGAATTGTTTAACACGGGTGGTGCAATTGGAAGGGGTGTGGAAGTGCGTTAGGGACGGAGGGAGTATTTTATCGGATACGGGTGAAGATTTTTTACCACCCAACACCCTCTATGCCATCTGACACATTTGTATCTGTAAAGAATAATAATAATAATAATAATAATAATAATAATAATAATAATAATAATAATAATAATAATAATAATAATCATCATCATAATAATAATAATCATAATAATAATATACTCCCTCTGTCCCATTTTAAATTATCTGTTTGCCTTTTTTCTCCATCCCAAAATAAGTTGTTTGTTACTTGTTATCGTAAATTTTTAAGAATAAAATACCTAAACTACCCCTAAAATAAATTACTCTTCTCCACCTTATCTTCTCATTCATCGTCACCCCTCTTAAAAAGTAATGGCAATTTTATCAACTCTATTTTTCTTTTTCTTAAATATGCTCAAAAATCAAAACAGACGATTTAAAACGGAACGGAGGAAGTATGTTCTATTATTATTACTATTTTTTCTTTATGATAAACTAATGACATCGCTATTATTAATTACAAATAATATTGTTAATTTCACTCGTTTTACCACCATTCTTTCATCCACGGATGTGAATGAATTGGGTGATGGATGATGTACGCAACATATGGATGAAGAGTGAAATGATGAATGAGGGTGAAGCTGTGTCCAATTGATACCCAATCCAATGACATCCATAGGGCAGAGGGACTATGTTGCTTTTATTTGCTTTAATCAAAGAGATGAAATAATATGTTTTTGAAAAAAATAAAATACAAAAAAAAAAACAATCCTTATTTGGTTCGGTCCGGGTTTTTTCAGTCCGGTCGTAGCCCTGTCCTTACCATAGGAGTAAAAGAAATGACTTCAAAACATTAGGTTAACCTGGGGCTAGAATATGTATGCATATTATACATTGGGGAACTAACCCTGATTAAGAAGAGTATATCATCATCATGTTCTATTTGAGAATATACAAAAGCAGTTCTTTATGAAAGCCAGGTTAGGGCCAACCAAACACATTTTTACTTGTTTCCAATAGTCCTTTACCTAGGCCAAAGTTGGCCATATATATCTTTCTTGGCATAACGACGATCCCATGACCAGGGCACATCTGCATTACAAGAAAGGTAAATGTATAATCGAATGTCGGTAAATGAAAAAAAATTACTGATTCGACGAGCTAAATACTAAGACTTGAATTTTTATCCTGAAAGGAGTTTTCACCTTCGGGAGAGTATGGCGTAGGAGGAAGCTCATAGGGTAAGGGTAACTTGGTAACTTCAGGAGACTCTGCATCTATATTTCCTTGCCAAGCTAGAGTTACAAGCTTTGCCCTTCTCTCTTTCTCCATTGTAGATTTTTTAACCTGTGGGGTTAAGCCATTATGAGAAGTTACAATTCACAAATCACATGATTACATTGACCAAATTAATTGACAAACCTTAGAGAGATTACTGCGTTCGTCCGTACAAGAAAATCCACTTTCACAATTGACAGATGGTAAAAACAACACCCCCAGCTGGCGACAATTCAGACGCAATATCAGTTTTTATATCATCTGGTATGTGGGATTGTTTTTCACAGCTATAACGTTTAGGATCTGTTTGGAAATCTGTAAATACAAGAGAGAAAAAAATTGGAAGGAAAAAAAGAAACTCCCTTTAGTGTTCAAAGTGCATCTTTCGTACCTCATATGATCGAATCATCAACTGGGAATTATTTTTTTGAAGAGCTCCCCAGGCGGCTTTGCTGAGGTTTGCAGAAGTAAGCAGTAACCATCTGTTCAAATCATAAAAATATACTAGCATAAAAACTTGGCTCCATATCTAGTTCAAGAAAGGAGTGGGTATGAATAGGATCTTACGCTACACTTTGACCGTGGTAACGAACAAACGTCTTTATATGAGGCATTGCCCGACTGAAAAGTTTAATAGCACACGGGTAAGTTTCTTTCTTTAAAAGGACAAGAGTTGCCCTTTTGCCTAAAAATCAAAGATTATAAGATTCATAATAGACAATGTTTTAGCTTTGCCTAAATAACGGACTTGATGAAAATGGCACATCAAACTTCGTTTGCTTTTTACTTTGAAGTTTGGTGAGTAAATGCAGAAATGCATCAAGCGTCTAATGGAAACAACCCCTCTAGTTTTGTTTACATGGTAAGGTTGCATACATCTTGACCCCCACCCCTAGACCCCCAATAGATTTGAGATTATACTGTGTTTTGTTGTTGAATGATAATTACATACTCCCTCGGTTTTTTAAAATGCCCATTATAATGTTCTTGACACATTAAAAAATGAAAAAAAAATTAATGAATGAATGTCCCTCTAATTAAGAGTAGGGGTAACGTTTGCGTTGAACTGACTCTACTGTCGTGGGATTCAACTGGGTTGTTGTATTAAAAAATGAATGAATGTGGACATGATGTATGTCCATATTCATTCAGCTCTCAATGCATCACACAAGTCATAATGATCACTTAAAACCGAATGGAGAGAATATTAGAAACCACAAATTATTCAATATTCATTAATAAATGGGCAGTTTACCAACGACCAGTGTGGGTTGCTCTCCACTTTGCCCAGTATTTTTTCAGAAATGGTTTCTCCACATTTTTTAATGGGCTTGGAATGCAACTTCCAGCAGCATATCCCTGCAGGATGAATACAGTATCCACAAAATGACCATCATTAACACCCTTATCTAGGAAAGAGAGTCTAAAACTTTACAAACATTATACCCAAAAAAACAAAAGAAAAAAACCTCCAATGAACATCTGACATCTTCAACAGTAGGCCATATTATCATTTGCTCCCCTAAGCCAAGGGGCTTTTTGTCATCTGACATCCCTGCTGACATTGAAGTTGCAAGTTCTGTCATCCACTTCTCATCTAGAGAACCAAGAGATGAAAACTGCAGCAATGGAATAACACCTCATCTGAAAAAATGGCCCTTTGGAGTTTGGACACTACGATATAAATGGCTATATTACTTTACCTAGTAGTTATGATAGATAGATCCATTTATAGGGAAAAAAAGGCTGTGTCAAGGAATGATATCCCATTAAGCACCAAGACTTTTGAAATGCTGCAAACCTAAAACAATCCATATACCTGATAAACAAGAGGAGATTTCTCAAACTCTTTGCTGAAAGTACACTCTTGAAGGACAGTACGTAACTTCATATGTCCCCACCTTTTCAAACTTAGACCTGAATGATATCCAGGGACGGAGGCAATTAGCCTGACCTGGAAATGAAATCATAACACTCAAGAATGGATAACCATAATCTGATCAAAGAATAGTCTCCAAAAAGATATTACCCCTGCGCTGGTATAGTCAAAGTTCTTGAAAAATGAGGAATTGATGTTGAAGTTTCCAAGCCCTGGTATATTTGCATTGAACTCAGGCCACTGAAAGCACGGAAAATAAATTAAACAAGGAAAAATGGTAGTTCGAGAAAATAAATGAGTTTTAAGATAGATTCTTGAAAATATGAAACATTGACCTCAATCAAGAATTTCCATACATTATTACCTTTAACACACTAAGATAGTCAATCAAGTCTCTTTCAAAGCCACATTCCATATTTGAACAATTTTGGTCCTTCCACGGGAAATCTTGCATCCACAAACCTTGACTTTTGTTGTTCCAGTCAACATATATCAAGTTTGCAGTGTGCACAACAATTCTGACCCCTTTAGGGTACACAAGAATCATGGCTTTTGAATGATGGGTCCCATATGATATGGGCAATGCAGGTTTGTGTAGAATCCAGTTTGAAAGATTGCTTCTCTAGAATAAACATGTAATGTTAAAAAATTGAAATTTAAGTACATTCACTTTCTTAACAGAAGAAAATATCCATGGAAAAGGATTTCTACCAACCTTCATATGTTCTACGGTACTATCACCTTCTCCATGTATAACAAGAACCTGGGGAATCTTTTTAAGAGTGGGACATGCTGCAAAATATAAAAAAACTCATTAATTTCAAATGGAAAAATGGCATTGATTGGTGGGAAAAAATGTCACATGACGGGTAGGCTGATGCATGATGAATGCAAGTACTATTCTTTCTTCAAAAGTGGCAAATATGAATATTCATTGGGAATTTGGGTAAGAAACACCAATGCTGATGTTATGATGAACAAATAGCATTTGATGCTACTAAAGACGAGAAAAGAACATTTGTGGAAGACTGGAAGAAACATAATTGGACCATGAAAGTAGGATGTTAAGTGTAGATAAGATTCTACAAGGCTGAAATCACTCGAGTGAAACATGCACTATGCTCAACTACCAATGTTCGTAACCGCATACTGCATAGTTGAGGCAGATTGGCTCTATTGCGTATTGCATAGGCCTCAGTTTTGGTACAAATTGTATAAAATAATTGCAAATAATAATAACAATAAATTAAAGATAATACGATAAAATATTAAATAAACTTCAAGGAACCTCAAAGTCAAATCCATCGATAAGGAGTTCATAACACCTTATAATTAGTAAGCTCAAGCATCCATAATATCAAATAGTCTTATTCATAAAATTTTAAAGTTCAACCGATTGAGGAATGAAATTTAGGGTTATCACTATCAAGTGGTTTGAAATTGAGGTCAAAACCACCACTATCTCCTTTGTTATCAAGATATAGATCAAGACCAAAGCCATGTCCTTTGTCATCATCAAGGAAAACATGAGCATCAATATTCAATATTGTCTTCATCCTCAATCAAGTGTAGTTTCCCCTCTATGGAAGTTTGAAAGGGAACTATTGCCTTTTTATAATAAGGGTCAAACTTATTTAAAATATGGTAAATAGTATTGTTAAGCCTCAACTAAACCTCATTGCATTGGGTAATGAGGCATATGCCACAACCCCATATGGTGTAAACCTTGCTGTTGCATGTTTTAAGCATAGTTTCGTTGTGCATTTAGGGTAAAAATCATTGAGGCATAGCCTCATTGCGCAATTACAAAAGGTGAGTACCTACCAGAGAGTAGCCAATCAATGTCTACCATGTAATTGGAAAGGATGGCTACAAGCACATCCCCCTGCAAACACAGAAGTCCAACTATGAAATATCAAAATATTTTAGAAAACAACTATCAAGGCAATGTTCATTACGCAGGTATTAGATATAATATGCATTTTAGGGCCTAACTTTTAGACCATGACCTCCAAACTTTATGGGTTTATATTTGAGATTTTATAAAAACTAAGGAAACCACATTATAGATGATCATAAAACATTTTAATCATCCTTAAAATGTAAACAGAAATATTCTATTAATAAAGACATAGATTAAGCCCTATAGTGTCTATCTCTCCAAAACCCTACATCCAAACTGAACCTAAGAGTTAACCTTGTAAAAGAAAAGTCAATAATCAGTCGATTTTTCATACTTTAACAAATACTATAATAGTATATCTACAATAAATCTTTTCGGGAGACAACGGAAGGGAACCATTTCTACAATCATACCCATGTACAACATTTTATACCTGTATTACATCATGGATGGAAACAGCATTAGTGTTTGCCCATGCTGGCAGCTCATGAACTCTAAGCAACCGGAATGTTTGGGGTAACTTATCATTGGGGACATCAAAATAACGTATTGCCTCTACAAGACTCTCTGTTTTATGGCTATCAGACTCCAACCCATTCTATCATAAAATAAAAAAGAAGAAACATTCTAGATATAGTATCGAGAAAAATATATAGCCATAATCTTTATCAAAAGAAATTCTTAGAGACTTTTTACTTCTCTAGTTTTTTTGAGGCTGTGTCCTCCCTCTTTGCTACTATTACTTTCTTCAATCATCAGAGGCCTTTTGTTCCGGCTGTGTGGTGAGCTTTCATTCCTAAGAGCTGTGTACCTAAAACAGTAATGTCCAGGTATCAACTCTACCACATCACCGTCATTGATTTCCCACCTTTCTCCTGACAAAAGCTTCTTCCTCAGGCCTTTTGATCTTATAACAACTGGGTTTGTACCTTCCTACAATAGCACATTACAGTAAGTTTCCAATGAAACGCCAAGGCATGAAACGAAACCAGACTATACTGCACAGTAGTAGCACAAAAATCCAGTTTCATTATCAAACACAGAAGAAGCATTACATTAACTGTTCTCCATTCCATCTTTCCAGTTAGAGAATAAAACTATATGAAATTGGCCAATGCACCTTGATGTATAACAAGCACTACAACAAATATTTGGTTACCTATATGAAATATCAAACACGCAAGGTGACTAGGTTTGGGATTGCACCATAAAGAGTACTCTTTAAATTTGAGGTTTTATGCTAAGTGGAGAATTAAATCAAGACGGCAGACAGAATATATTTCAAGATCCATATTCATGCACCCAAAATAAATTGGAGGGTTACCACAAACACTTCTGCAGAGCCACCTGAAGTGGCAATGACAGTAAGATGTTTCCGGCTGATCCGTTTATCATTGGCTGGAACACAACTGCGGCCAAGACAATTAGGGCCTTCATTGATGGGTATCTTCGGAATTGAGCCTGATTCCTCCTCTGCCAACACACTGGGATCCTTCAGCGGCGTGAAAAACGCAACCTTTTGGTGAAAGAACGCCAACCCAATTTCAGAAAATCAGGTTTCCAAAGGAAAAGGTTGAAGAAATTATAAATTACAAAGAATTGTTCAGACCTGATGATGGTGCGGCATGTAAGAAGGCGATTCCGAAGCTGGGAACAACGTAGTAGGGGAGTGGTGGGTATTATCAAAAGATATGAGATGAATGTGGAAGGGAGTCTCAAGTCTGCTCTGGCGCGGTGAAGCAGAGTAGGACTGTTGATTGGTCTAGACAGGATGGAACCGGATCCACCCCAATCGGATCCAACGACTAAATTAAATAAAATATAGGATAGAAGACAGGACCTAAATTTATTTGGGTTTTGGACCGAACTGAACCGAAATGAACATATTTAAGCTTTTTATTTTGTACCGTGCAAATAGAAAAGTATAAAAGATGGAAACTCTAAAAGTTGATACTACGTACAAAACATGGACTTCTTCTATGTAGAATTATGGAGTAATGCAAAAAAAAAATTTCAAATTTTTTAAATTACTTAATAAAAATCCTTTTTAATTAGATAAACTAAGATATGTATTAAAATAGAACATCAAAGTGTAATACGAAACTTAAAGAGTAAAGTGTTAGTATTTAAGTCTTTTAGGTCTAGTAAGGTTATTAGGTCCATTCGGTTCAAGTGCTCCGGACCTAAATTATTTTGAGTTTGGACCCGACTGGACAAAAACCCAAACACCGGTGAAGACTGACCTGAAATCCATTCAGTCCAGATCCGGTTTGGACATAACGATCTGGTTTGGTCGATTTTATGGCTCGGACCTAAACATGAACAGCAACGAAGATTTATATGACAACAATATGGTTGTAGCAGCGACAAGCGGCATTGGCAGAAATAGGAACCACGACAAGTAGGGGTGTTCAATCGGATCGATCCGATCCGATCCGATCCGAAAATTCGGATATCCGAAAATTTCGGATCATGTAAAACTCATTCCATATCCGATCCGAAAATATTCGGATATCCGAAATTCGGATATCCGATTTTTCGGATCGGATCACTGGATTATCCAAAAAGTTGAGTTTTTAGCCAAAATTTACAAAAAAAAAAGGTAAAATAGCAAAATCAACCCAAAATATCAAATTCAATATAGATTTACTAAAAGAAAAATTTCACCACTAAGTAATGGCCTAATAAAAAAATAATATCAAATTTAATTTGGGAGTAACTTTGGTAATTTTGCCTAAACAAACAAAAAAACATTATTAAAACTAAAGATTCTAAAATGCTAATGCAAAAAGTCCAAAATGGTTGAGTTCCAAAATCAACATAAACTTACATTTAAACATATAGTCATAATATATATCCATAAAA